TTGTTTATCCTGGGATTTGGGAAAAGGTGTCTCCTGATGTCATCAGAGACTGAGCTTTGTTTCCCGCTCTGGTTCTTTACATTGTTGATGGCAATGTCAAGGGGAACTTTGCCATCTTAAAATCTTCCTGAATTATGGGCAGCTCGGGCGACCTATTTTAAACAAACCTGCTGGCCTTCATGCCATCTGGTGAGAAAAGCTGACAGGTCAGATGTGGCCCCTGCATTCCCCACCTTCCAGTGTGAACAGGGCAGGGTCAAAACCCCAGCCTAACCACTGCTGATCATGTAACCTCAGCCAAATTACAGGTCCTCTCTGCATCTCCATTTTCCTATCTATAAAAAAAAAAAAGTAAATATAGACCAATGGAACAGAATAGAGAGCCCAGAAATAAACCCTCACATGTCTCACATATGTGGTCAATGGCATTTGACAAGGGTGCCAAGACCATGCAATAGGAAAATAAGTTTTTCCAAGAAACGATGGTGGGGACAACGGGGTCTCCACATGCAGAAGAGTGAAGTTGGACCCAAATGCAAATATTAACTCAAAATGTATCCATGATCTCCACATAAAGATAAAACTCTTAGAAGAAAAGGTAGAGGGAAAGCTTCATGACATTGATTTGACATTGATATAATGACACCCAAAACACAGGCCACAAAAGGAAACAAATTACATTAAAATTTAAAATTTTGTGCACAAAGGACACTAACAAAAGAGAGAAAATGCAACCTATCATAGGAGAAAATAATTGCAACTCATATATCTGATAAAGGATTAAAGAGCTCCTGCAACTGCAAAGTAAAAAGACAACCAATTAAAAAATGGACAAAGGACTTGAATAGACATTTCTCCAAAGAATATATACACATGGCCAATAACCACATAGACAGATGCTCAACATCTCTAATCATTAGGGGAATACAAATCAAACCACAATGAGATACTGCTTCACACCCATTCGAATGACTTCTTTTTTTTAAGTGATGTCAAGTTGGAGGCCCATGCACTGTTGGTAGAAATGTAAGATGGTGCAGCTGCTGTGAAAACAGTATGGAGGTTTCTCAAAAAATTTAACATAGAATTACCATATAATCTACCACTTCTGAGTATAGAACCAAAGGAGTTGAAAGAAGAGACTTGATATATTTCTACATCCATGTTCACAGCAACTATTCACAATGGCCAAAAGATGGAAACAAACCAAATGTCTATTGACAAATGAATGGATGAGAAAAATGTGGTACATGTAAACAATGGAATATTATTCGGTCTTTAAAGGGAAGGAAATTCTGACACATACTGCTACATGGATTAACCTTGCAGCTATAATTCTGAGTGAAATAAGCCAATTACAAAAGGATAAATACTGTGGTATCACTCACATGAGGTCCCTAAGGGTCATCAAATTCCAAGAGATAGAAAGCAGATGGTAGGTGCCAGGGCTGGGGGTCAGGGGTGGGGAGTTAGTGTTTCCTGGGGACAGACTTTCATTTTGGGAAGATGGAAAAGTTCTTGAGATGATAGAAGTGACAAACGCACAACGATGTGAATGTGCTTACTGCCAACGAATGCTTAAACATAGTTAAAATAGTAAATTTTATGTTCTGTATGTTTTACCACATACACACACACTCAGGTATGAATTCCATCCCCCAGGTATGTATGTTCCCACTCTTAGAGGCAGACACAGGCTGGCTTCCTGGAGCCTCTAGTCTATGGGGTCAGACATCACACACACACACACACCCCCCATACAAACTCATACACACGCACATTCACACTTACATGTGCATGCATGAGTAAGTCCATAATGCACTTAAGTACTAGAGAAGCAGCAAACTCCAAGCTGGCTCCAGAACCATCTCTGTCAGGCGGGCTGAGGGTCTAGATACCAGGAAGGCACACATTGCCCATCTTCTCAAGTCCCCGCCTTCCAGGGCATCCCGACAGCCCATCTGCATGGGCACCTTGGTCAGAGGGGTCCTTGGCAAGAGGAGAGCCTAGTAGGAACTCCATGGGGACTGACTCAGCCACATAACAGGGAGAACAGATTTGACCTCTGCTCCCCCTGCAACCCTCGCCCTCCCTAGGTGAAGGGTAACAGCCACCATCTCTGCCAGCCTGACCCCTGGTGGTGACACCCCCTCTGTCCTGACCCCCACCTGCTCTCCTTGGCCAGACTCATCTAAACTGAGACTGGTGACTTTCCCAACTGGCGAAGGTGACTTTAGTGGTGACCACAGTGGAGGTCAAGGTCAGACGTCCTGACTGTTCTGGGATTATTGTCCTCTTCATGAACAACTGGGCAAGAACTCCAGGGGTCTTGAGTAGGTTTTTCATTTCTTCACATATCAAATTAGAGGCTGGGTCAACACATCAGAAGCTGGGCCAGAGAGGGAGCCATGACAGCATGTGACTGGGAGCAGTGACCAGGGGACTGGGGAGAGACAGGGGACTTGGGACTGAGAATGAGGGACTAGAGACCAGGAACAGAGGACTAGGGATGGGGGACTGGGGAGGAGTTATGGGGAACAAAGGAAGGGAAACGGGACAGGGACGGGGTACAGTGGTGGCCTCGGCAGCTTGCCTGGCTTCACCTCCCTGTGACCTTGCCAGGCCAGGCTAGCTGCCCTGCAGTGCTGCTTCCCCTCATCCCGAACACCTAAATCCAAGTGGACGAGATGCACCTTGAGCAGAGCAACTTAATAAATGAAAAGCTGCAAAAGTCAGTGTGTCTAGGAATGTTGTTGCCTTCCCACTTTGAGCCCCTGTCCCTGGTTTCTGGGTAGTTTCTGTGAATTCCATCCTGGCAGGTCGGAGTGAGGTGGCTGGTGTCCCTCTGAGGTGTGATGCACTGCCCCCGTGTGGCCAACTACTTGTGGGCTGCGTCTGGAGCCCTGTACCTTCCTGCCCTCCTGCCAGGGCAGCCTGGTGGCTCAGGTCTTGCTCACCACCCTTCAGGGAGCCCTGCCCTCCAGCAGGGTCCCCGCGACCCCCAAAGCTCACCTGCCTCTCTGGCATTGCAATGAGTAGAGTTGGGTCCCCTCAACACAGCCCTCAGAGGCTGCCCAGCCTCTCCCATGCACCATCCCCCACTCCCTGCTACGCCTTCACTGGCCAAAACCCTGGACTCCCACTGAGAGGATCTGTACCACACACCTGAGCACACCCATATCTTACCTGATAGTATCACCACACATCTGAACACACCCCTACCTTATCAGAGAGTATCTGCACCATACCTGAGATTATCTGTACCATACCTGTCCCACATGCCTGAGCACACCTGTACCTCACCTGAATTTCTGCACACCTGAGCACATCTGTATCTTATCTGAACCTATACCACACATCCAGGCACATCCATACGTTACCTGAGTATCTGCTCAACTGAGCACATCTTTACCTTACCTGAATCTGCACACCTGCGCACATCTGTGTATTAGAAAATATCTACACCACACACCCGTGAGTCAATGAGAAGCCCACATATCAAACTAGAGGCTGGGTCATAAAGGAACGGCTCTCCCTGCTAACGAGGGAGGATGAGACCTTAACCCATCTACAATCCAAACTTCTCTTTAAGTGTCTGTCTTACCGTCCCTAAATCAGGAATGCAAAGCTAATCACATTCACACATCACACGTCCTCACTGTGGCTTATACACAGTGTGAGAGAACAGGCCTCTCAGCATCCAGTCTGGCACCAAGGTATCTACGGAGATAGAACACCGTGTACCTGAGGGAAAGTGCCTCACCAAGGCCTGGAACCACCACTGCTCCTAGACCAGCTTCCCGGGGTTCCAGGCTGATTCCAGGGCCCAAGGGGCTGCAGATGCAGGGTAGATGGGGGCGGCGGAGGGGGGCAGTGGGTGGACTGGGAAAGCCAGCATTTGCAGGATGGGACACAGAGCATGACAAGGCTGGATGAGTGGCGACACCTGCTGTCCTCACTCTAAGCTTGGGGCCTTTACAGGCCTGAGATCAAGGGAGAAATGGGAGCAGTCTTCCATAGGCTCCTCTAGTAGCCATGGTGTGCAGCACAGGAATGGACACAGGGAAGCAGTGGAGCTTACTGGGTGCAGGCAGCGTGGGTGTGTGGCTCATTAGATGGAAGATGCTGAGTCCAATGTGTCCATGAGAACGCAGGGAGAAGTCACCTGAGCACCTGGATGTGTGGGACTCATGAGGTCAATTCTTGGGCCTGAAGGCTTCATGGAATCTGGCTGCTTGCTTGTAGTGGCAAATTTGGGGTTTGGGGTCAGGAGGTTGACTTCACTAAAGTAGAACTTGGGGTCACGTGCTGGTGCTGTGTCTTAAGTGTCAACATCCAGAGAGGCACCCGACATGCACAAGAGTGGAAATTCTCAGACCCCTGTGGAACGCCACCCCCCAAATAAGCTCACAAGGACAGTCTCTGAGCCCCACAGATTGTGATCCAGTGACACTCTCATCCCTCTGATCACAGATACCACAGATAAGAAGCCCACAGCCCCCAGGTCCCCATATCACCAACCAGCAAGGTATCCAAGCAAGGACCCTCCGGGTCACCCAATTTCTGATGCCCCAGACCCATATATAGATCATCGCTACCCATTCAGAATCCAAATGTCCTCACAACCGCCCCCCCCCCCCTTTCTGGTTTGGGGAAGCAAACTTAAAGGCAGAAGGGGCAGAAACAGCCTAAGGCAATTCCTTCAGTGGCAGAGCCAAGGTTCATGGGCTGACTGATCACTTACCCACTTCCCTTTCATGTTTGAAAACTCTGTAACAGACCATCACAGGGCACAGGGTGAATCATTAGTAAATGACAAAAACATGCCTCTAAACTACACTGGGATTTGTATGTCCAAAGAAGTCCTATAAAATTTAAACAAACTCCTAGAACAGGACAGATAGAATCCACACATTTCCATAAACGAGTTGTGTGGACACCTGAAGATGTCCCAAATCCCTCAAAACTCCCCTCATGAGCACATCAGAGATGGACTGGGACAGGGGTACATTGCTTTATTGCTTATGTTGCACATTCAAATAAATACAATAAACCCCTTTATTAAAAAGTAAGGCACATGAAAAGCCTTCTGTGCAAGTTCCATGTAATTTTAAAATTCCTATTGGCTAATAAAAGTATTTCCACTGTAGAATTAGAGCTATATAGAAAAGCACATGATAAATGTTTTACATGCAGAGTATCCGAACCATTATTATATCTTACCTCATGGCACAAACAGTCCCAAATCAAATGCCTATATGTGAATAACGATATGACTATTGTTATGACTGCAAAAATGTTAATCAGCTTATCCACATATGTACAGTTGGGTCCCCAAATATTAATTATATAAAATCTAAAGGAAGAACAGCAGCTACTGTATCCATGCTCCGTTTCATTAAATGTAAGAGATTTGGCATTTTCAGTCTTTTTTTCCTGCAAGTCATGTTGCTATTTGTAAAAGGCCAGTGTTATACGATGCTGAAGACCATGGAGAGATACTGTTCATATGACACCTGAATCCAGCCATCCTGGTCTGTATCATAGCGTCTGAATATATCCGTCAACCTCTGTGGGGGGGAAAAAACATGGCATTTAGATCTTGATATCAAACAGAAAGAACAAAATGAATTTGGCAGAAAGATATTCAGAAACCCAATTTCAGGAGCATGCGTGTCTTCACACCCTCTGACGGAGACCAGCGCAAGGGAGCACGGGTGGGGGATTTCTGCCCACTTCCCAAGCCAGGCGCCTCCCTTAGAATCTGCCCCCAGCAGGTGATGCTCAATGCACAGTATGGAAGGGCAGGTCTCCCTATACCAGTCCAGGGTCTATTCTGCCCATCATGTTCTCCTGTCTGCCAACCCCCCATTCCAAGGCCCCACCTTAGTCTATTCACAAGCCTGACCATCCAGGTCAGGCCAGAAGCAGAAAGGAGACCACCTGTACCCAACAGCAGAAACAGTCAGGTAAGGGCTGCCCCAGAGGACAGGGCTAGCAGCCACAACAGCTTCTTAAGAATGATAACGCCAAGAGAAGAAATCAATGCCCGGGTTCATCATGACCTTGGTGGCCGGCCAGCTGCTCAGAGCAGGGCCCAGAGAAAGGCTGGAGCCTGGCCAAGTGGGCTGTGCATGCCCTGATCTCCTCAGGGCTCCACCTGTTGTCCTCCAGAGCTGGGGCAGGTGAAAAGGCTACAACAAACAGGGCCTGACACAGGTGACCACCCCCTTGATGACGGCCAGGAGCATCCTAGCATGTGTGCAAAACAACAGAAACCCCAGCAGCACTTAACTCTGGTTTGAAGAACAATGGGCAATCTTTTTTATGTTTTAATTGTATTTTTCCAAGATTCCTACAAGTTTGTTTTTTAAGATTGTATTTATTTTTTTTAGAGAGAGAGGAAAGGAGGGAGAAAGAGACAGAGAAACATCTATCTCTGATTGCTTCTTGCACCCCCTTGTGGTGAGGCTGGACCACACCGCAACCTAGGCACATGCCCTGGCTGGGAATCAAAAGGCAATCTTTCACTTTGCAGGACGATGCCCAACCAACTAAGCCACACCAGTCAGGGCTCTACAAGTTTTCATGTTATTTTGTCAGAAACAATTCTCAAAAAGCCTTTTTTTTTTTTTTTTTTGGAAAAAGGCAGATGAAGGAAAACATTTTGAGGACTTTTTACTTGTGGTCTGCAGCCTTTCTTTTCAATTTCCCACCTCTGTCCAGCACTTAGGGTCATTCTCCAAGTGCGGGTGGGACTAGGGACTGACAATCAAGCCCCAGGAACAGCTCCTGGAGGCAGGGGCTGGCCTGCCCTCAGCCCAGGGGAGCTCCTCAGAGGACCCATCACATTGCCTCAGCTGCTGAGCCTACATGCAGTAACCTTTGCTTAGGCAAAAATATGAGGATCATGTTTACTTATGGGACATAGTCTCAAATGAAAGTCCTAAAGCACATCAGACATAGATCCTAATGAGACTTTTATACTGCGCCTTTTCCCAGAGTGCTCAAACACTGCACACACGTAACTCAACCTCACCAGACCCTGCGAGACAGACAAGGTTGGGCTCTCCCATCTCAGAGATCTGAAGCTTAAGAGTTAACAGACCTGGATCTGGTGAGAGAATGACCCACCAGATTCACTGATAAAGAAATCAGAAACTTCATTTTTACTGACCTATCATTTTAACGAGAAAAAAAAAAATCTGAGAACGATTTTAAATATTCCAAATTACATTTAAAAACCTCATGCTGTTCACATCTTCAGTGAATTCTAAAGCTGACAAGATGGAACCTTAACTTGGATTCAAGTTGCTAGGACTTATCTTCTAGAGACGGGCTCTACTAAAATATCAATGGAAAAAAATTCTCTTTCCATAAGTGGAATCTAATTCAGAATAATGGGGGAGAGGGTTAGAGAGTTATTATAATTCACTGACCATGAGTGATAATTGTTGAATCTGAGTGATGGGCACATGGGTTCATTTTACTGTTCTGTTACTGTTATTTTTTTTTTGCTGTAGGATGGACATCTCAGAAATATGTGGGGAACTGGGACACACAGGGTTCAGCGTGACTCCTGAGTTCCACCAGATGTTGGTTAGGAATTGCACCAACACCCACACAAGGACCCGTGAATTTAGGAGCCAGGCTGGAGATTTGGAACTCACCTCACACAGGAAGGCAGGGCAGAGAGAAAATCACATGGAAAATCTGCCCATTTCCTCAGAATAAAAATACAACAAAGATAGCAGAACATACATGTAAATAACCCACTGGATATCGGGGGTGGGGGGAACCTACCTCTTCTGAATAGACTGCTCTATAACATTTCCAGGGGGAGAAAGAGCACTACTGTGGCACCTCTGTGTAACAGAAAAAAAAGTCACTTCTCCAAAGGAAAGACTAACTGTTAGAAGCTCCAGGAACTAATTTTATATACGCCTGACTCCATTGTATCACAAATTCCAGACTGGTATTTCCTTTTTCCTCCAAAGAGCCCAATTACCTGTAAGACGATGCAGCCCTGGATGAAGTCATCAAAGGCAATCTGTCCCCGTCCTTGTCTGTCAAACTTTCGAATGAGGATGTCGTGAAACTGGTCAGAGAGCCGGTAGCCTTGAAAAGGAATCAGAGTAAATAGAGTGCCAGGAGAGCAGGTGTCTCCTTCAGCACCACACTCGCCCTCCTCCCCCAACAGACCACACCTCTTCCTCTTATCACAATTGATAATAAATGGTCTGGGCTGGGTGGGAAACACATGGTGCACATTCATTCAAAGGCATTCTAAGCTATGTGTCATTCAGCAGCGACCACTGCTGACAGGCCACAGCGTCTTCCTGGAGGGTGAGGCGTAACCGGAGACTGGACCACACCACAGATCGAAGGATCCCTTGAACTTACTAATTCACATCACACCCGCGCTCCACTGGGTGGCCCCACCACAGACCACCCTGCAAGGTAGCCAGGTCAAGTTTGTTAAATGCAATGGGGTGATCATTTTAAAAAGTCCTCCACTGATAGATTTTGTTACATTCATTAACCTAGATATGGAAGTTCTGAACAGTTCAGCTGCCCTGGGTTACTCATTACTAGGGAATATTTTGAAAGATAAAATATTACTGAGGTCTTCCAGTTAAACAAAATGTAAACCTAAGGAGGAAACAAATTAATTCATAGATATTTCCCCCACAGAAATGACCTGATTAGGGAATTAAACATTACAAGGAGTAAGATAGCCTCACAAAGTTCAAAACCACTACAGTTTCAACTAATGTTATGGCAAAGGGTCACTGATTCCATCTTCAACTTACTAGATGTGTCTTGAAAAGATCTCCAGCAGGAACGTGGGTCTGAAGACTTGCAAGCATAGTCCCCTGTGTGGGGGACACCCCCGAGGGCCAACTAAACAAGGGCACCTACTTCCTTCCCCTGCCTCCCCTCTTAATCCCACTACCTGTGTGACCATGGTATCCTTACTTATTCAGGAGACAAGATCCAGGTGCCAAAATATTTTTACTGGTTTTCAGTCTTGCTGCAGTCTTTGCAAGGAAATGTACACCATACTGTCTGAGTGAATTTCACAGTTAATTACCTGTATGAACACTTAACACTTTACTAAAAAAGATTTAAACATGCAAACACGTGATGGTACCTTCTTGAGTGGCCAGCGTGCTTTGCACGTCTCTATGACTTAAATCTAGGTCCCCCTTCTCTGCAAGCTGAGTAGAAGACAGGATGCCTGACCTAGAAAGAGATAGCAAGTCCTGGATGGCTGCCACTCCTCCTGGCCTCTATGATTCTCATCTCTTCACACCAGCACCTGTGCCTGTGGTCAGGTAAGACAGAGGCCCTGGCTTGGAGCTTGTGAGCTTGGGACACAAGGACAAGGCCATGCTCATTTGGATGCTACAGTCTCCTGCCCAGACTGGGAAAGGATAGACAAGAGAGTATCGACTACATAGTATCTCCACAATCTACAGACAATGGAAGCAGCTTGTGTTTTTCCCTGGCATTAACTTCCAGTGACTCTGGTCCTCAATACCTTTGCTGAGAAAAGAAAAGTGAAGAAAATCAGACTGGAAAAATAGATGATGGAAAGAATGATTATCTGAGAGGCCAAAATCTGGAAGCAGTCAGTTCTCTACCAAGTCCTTTCAGTAAAAATCTTTGTAATGATCATTAAAAGGAGGTGCCCTCTGCTTGTGGCCCCCACAGCCTGGGTACCTGGTTGGGACTGGCTGCCCTTCAAACCTGGTGTGCTGGCCACAGGGCCACACACCAACTTGCGAATGAGCACCTTTCTGCTTCAAAATAAAAAGGGGACAAAGCAAATGCAGCATGAAAACAGAAAACAGCTGAAAATGAGTTATGAGTAAATGGAGGTTCATTACATTTCAAAGTTTTCATAATAAACATTACACCGGCTTAGCAGCTGACAGGACCCAGGTGGAGTGGAGCCACCCGTGCCTACCGGCCCTGCCTGCCCGTCAGGGGTCAGAGCTGCCCCGGGGGCCTGCACTGCAGGAGTCAACTCCACCTGCGGAGCTGCGCCTCCAATGCTGCCAGGGGTGAGGGCTGTGCCTCATGCACCTTCTCATTTTCAGGTCTTGGTACGTGGTGTATAGCACATATTAATAAAAATTTCAAAACGAATGGACTGTCAAATCCAGCACGTATGCCAGTCACGCAGCGCTGCCAGGGCCGGCCTGAGACACCAGGATGGAGCTAACAAAGGTCAGAGTGCCAGTTAGGGCTCAATTCCCCAGATTCCCTCATGCATCTGCTGAGCTAAAATTTAGCCCCCTGCTTCCAGAGGCAAGATACTTGTTTTTAGGGGTCAAAACTGAATGAACTTCTTGCTTCTGTGGCACATTTCCTAACAGTTACTACTATTAGGACATAGTTACAGAAAATCTTCCAAAATAATAAATATGGGAAAAGGATGACAATGTTCTTTGCACAGAAAACAAGGCTTAGGAGAAGCCCTGGAAAATCAAGATCCAATCACAGGAAGAAACTTTTTGGTATAAATGAAGAAATGCTACAAAGGATTATTTACTTTCTTTAGAAAAAGCTTGGAAGTCAGGAAAGATCTCAGCACTGGCCGCATGAGGGGCCTGCCAGTTCCTGACCATGTGGCATCTCTGCCTGACCTGCACGGCTCGGCCACAACTGCAGCTGTCCTGGGTCTGACTGGGACTGGGAGGCCCGAGAATTCCAGGGCATCCTCCACATAGGCGTTTCGGCCATAAGCTCCAAGGACACAGTGTTCACAGCACTAGGTTAAAAAAAGAGGGCTCTGAGCCTCACAAGGTTAGAAAATGCTGTGTTCTGCGACTCATGATACCCAAGGTCACTTGACTGGAAATCATTCACAGGATCTGGGTTCCTCCCAAGTTCGTCCCAGCATGGCCAGGCCCCTGGCTCCTTCCCTGCCAGACTCCCCTAGGTCCCCCACCCGTTCCCCCACCTAAGGGAAGAACAAGGTCAACTGCATTCCCCAACTCAGAGAACCTGAGGTCCACATCCTCCCCAAGCTGACCACACAGACTTTCTGTGCCATTCCACAGCCTCCACCTGATATTATGTCTGAGTTCATAAGGCCAGAAAAGAAAATGACAGAAAGAGAAGACAGCCATAAAGCACACGATCAGAGAAAAATGGAGAGGGCAGGACCACATTAACAACTGTAAGAACCAAAATGTAGTTTATATTATTAAAATTTGAAATACCTAGAAAACAGTATATTATAATCTAACTTTTTTTTTCTAGAAGGCATTTATAAGCAGCCTTTTAAGAAAAACACAGGAGTTTTGTCACATGAGCCCAGTGAACAGAGCTGAGTGAAACTGTCCAAATTAGAATTTCAGTGTAACTTCGAACCTTGAACAAGTATTTTGACATTTGTTTTCCCTCTATTAAAAAAAAAAAAAATCACAACTTCCCCTCAGATTCCTGCCTTGGTATCATAAGGCCCACTGATCCACTCAGGAAAGGTACCATGTGCACACTCCTGACAGCACTGCACACACACGCTGACACGCACTTGAGAATGGGAGCTCACGCTAACTAAAGCCCTACCCGAGGCCCGCGACGTGCACTGCAGCTTAAGAGAATCATTTCTTAAGGGCATTTTATCATCTTCCTAAGTATTTTGGTCTATAAGCTGCCCTGCACTATTTTTTTTCACTTATTCACTTTAAACTGTTTCAAAGCCACATTCTCAATGTGCTTGTGATGTCATTCCAATTCAGAAAAGATAAACGATTGCATAGCCCTTATCTCATTTTGGATGAAAAAAATGCATTTAAAAAATAACTGCATAAAAGTCTCCATTAACATCAGGATATAAATCTGGATGATGTAAACAAAAATTCCACATACATTGGGTTAAAAAATCAGTAAGTTGAACACAGTAAAAAGAACTTTAATGATACCTAGGTTCCAAAATGAAACATGCTACACAATCAAGGTAAATGAATTACCAAAACCTGAGAGTGCTTGCTTGAGCTCATTCTTGTCAATCATCCCCGAGTTATCCCGGTCGTAGGTGCGGAAGACATTCTGCCAGTCTGTGATGTACTTCCAGACGCCTGTGAACTCGTTGAAGTTTACGCCAGCCTTGTTCTCGCGGTCAAACATTGCTGAGACAAAAAAGAGCTTGAGTGGCGGCAATGAATGGAATCTCAATGTTAATCACCAAGAAGCACAACCACAGCAGTTACGCCCCACACATCCGGCAGACCTGGGTTCCTCTGGGCCTAGAATAGCACTCAGCCAGTGAACCTCTAAGTGCTGCTGCTAATCATGCTCATTGGCTGTGTCAGGGGCAAGATGGTCTCTGCTGGGAAGGGGAAGGAGCACTATCACCCGCCATAGCCCCCATGAAAAGGAAAGTGCAAGCAAAACACACTATTAGAGTCACAATAAAAAGAATACTTCACACCAAAGTAGGTTCTACAGAAGCGCGACCACTGATGGGTGCTCCCGCTTTGCCAGGAAGACATGAGAGCTAAGTGCCCTTACTCTCAGCTCCTAGTTCTGGACATAGCGCACAGGGTCCCCTCCATTCCCCAGGACTGACATACTCCAGTGGAGGCCACTTCAATGAAAGAGACTCTACGTAGGGGTATCCAACCTTTTGGCGTCTCTGGACCACACTGGAAAGAGCTGTTGTCTTGGGTCGCACATTAAATGCATTGTGACACGCAATCAAAAGAAAATCTCATCATGTTTTTAGTAAATTTATGATTTTGTGTTAGCCCGCATTCATAGCCATCCTGGGCTGCATGCAGCCCATAGGCTACAGGTTGGACACCCCTGAAGTCTACTGGCTTTGCTCTTATTTTTCAAAAGATGGAGATTTTATTTTTTTTAGAGAGAGGGTAAGGGAGGAAGAGAGGGAGAGAAACATGGATGTGCAAGAAAAACATCGATAGGTTGCCTCTCACATGCCCCTAACCAGGGACCTGGCCCACACCCAGGCATGTGCCCAATTGGAAATCAAATTGACAACTTTTTGATTTGCTGGCAGGCACTCAACACAGAGCCACAGCAGCCAAGGAGGGACTCAAGCCCTGCCTTTCATTTTTAAACAAATCAGCCCAGCTCCAGGTCCAAATACAAAAGAACCTAAAACTATATTTACATAAAACTACAAAATGGCTAAAATATATGTATATAAAAACTCAGTCTGAATTACTGCCATAAGGAAAATAATAAATCATTTGGTGTCTCTTCAGGTAAGGAACTTAATGTGAGCCTGTAGAATGAGGGCTCCTGGCTTGGTCAGAAGTACATTATATTCAGTGAAATTTCACGTAACAAAAAACCAGGGGATTCCTCCAGTCTGAGGTCACATAGGATAAGGATTGTGTGTGGAACACGCAGTCCAGTGTGTGCATGAAACCTTCAGGGTTGGCAACTGAAAGGGCAGATCAGATGTAAACTGATAGTAAAGAACCAGCCCCAGCCGGGTGACTTGGTTGGTTGGAGCATCATCCCATATACGCAAAAGGTTGCTGGTTAGATTCCCAGTCGGGGCACATACTTAGGTTTCAGGTTCAATCCCCAGTCAGGGCAGGTACAGGAGGCAACCGATGGATGTTTTTCTTTCTCTTTCTCTCTCTCCCTCTCTCTCTAAAATCAATAAATGTATCCTTGGGCAAGGAATTTTTTTTTTTAAGAGGAGAAGGGAGGGAGAAAGAGAGGGAGAGAAACATCAACATGTGGTTGCTTCTCTCGCGCCTCCTACTGGGGACCTGGCCTGCAACCCAGGCATGTGCCGACTGAGAATCAAATTGGTGACCCTTTGGTTTGCAGGCCAGCACTCAGTCCACTGAGCCACACCAGCCAGGTCCTTGGGCAAGGATTTAAAAAAAAAAATCAGTGAGGGGACAGAAGGGCAGGACGAAGGCCCACCTCTAACTAGAGTTCTGGGAGAATAAGCTAAGAAGCACATGCCGTTCCAAGCAGCCCACACCTGTCTGCCTGCACAGGCAGGATGCCAGCACCTTTACTTACATATGATTGACCTGACAGTCACGGGATTAAATGGAGTCCAGGTGCCTGAAAACAAAGAGGAACTAAAGTAAGAGAAAGCGATTTGTACCTTTATTAATTTTTGCACTCAGTAAAAACAAAGTAAAAGAACATGTTTTTAACGTGGAGGAAAAGCAGTATTTCTGCCCATCCCTCATTTGTATAAAAAGAGCTCATTTTTCCTTTTGTATACACAATTGTTTCAGTTCTGGGCAACACACAGAGACCTACCCGCGACCTCTGAGCGGTGCTGGGCTGGAGAGTCTGCCTGTGCCATACCTCACCCTCAGGGGCAGTGGGCCCTGGAGCACCCCCAAAGTCCACACCCACCCAGCTCAGGGTTCGTCCAGGCTTCTCCCTCTCATATGTGCCCCTCCAAACACATGGACATCCTCCACCCAACTCCTCCCTCCTCTTTAAGCCTCGGGTGAAACGCGTCCTCAGGGAGCCTTCCCTGAATGCCCACATTCCAGGTAGCTACGTTAAATCCATCTCTTCAGCTCATGCCTTCTGACCGCCCCTTCAGAACACCTGCAATGGTCATTACTCCAGAAAGGATGGTCCGCCCAAGAAAGCAGGGGCTCACATGTCCCCACCCAGGCCTGGCACACATCAGCGCTGGATACACCTTTGTGCAGGCTTCACAGACCTCTGGGGGAAAGGTGGGCAGGAGTACATACATAAAGTATAAGGAAAAATCAGTATTATTGGAAACCAGTACAAACGCAAAACTACGTTACAGGAAAATTCCAAACACACGGCAGGATCACTGCTTCACCCATGCCTGCTGTCCCCTCCCTCCCTCTTAGTGGCTCCACGCACTGAACTGGGTTTCACAGAAGATAACCCACCACTGACCAGAAGCCAGGAACCACAGGCCCCCACTGGAGTCCCTTCCTTCCTTTGTGCTCCCACCACCTGACACAGTCTAAGTGACCACAGGAGAAGAGTTGTGAGTGAGGGTGGAACTGAGCTGACTCCGCAGAGCTGGAGCTGTTAGTCCACCTCGACTGCGCATAGCAACCCCGGGCTGTCAGCAAATGACTTGGTTGAACAAGTGTTAGACAAAACAGTACAAGTAAACTAATTAAATAAGGCCACACACACAGGCACTCTGGCGGTGAGGACCAAGGGCCCCGACAGACAGAAGTGGAGTGTACAGATGGCACACCCCAGAGAGGCAGGCCCAGAGGACCAAGCCGTGCTGGGGGCTCTGAGAAGTGAAGGGTCTGGGGCCGAGTCCATGATGGAGGGGCCTAGAATGCGGAAGAAGGCTCCAGATGTCCACTGGTCCTCCTTGTTACCCAAATGGGACCTGACTCTTCACAGAAACTAGGGGGACAATAACAGCCAACAGGTAACGGACTCTCAGTCCTGTGGCCTGATTCCCAGGCTTAACATCAAAGCTTAACAACCCACAATGAAGCCGAAATGCCACAACGTGCAGACATATTAGTTTTTGGTTATATTAAGCATTCAATGTACCTGAGTGTCAGCCTGAAAACCTAAACATTTCATAAAACAGTTTCCTGTAAGAAAACACACTGCAATGTAATCAGGCATATTCAACAGCACTTGCTGAAGGCAGAGGACACATCCTACAGCTGGGTTTTTTCCACAAGCCCTTCACCTCCAGCGAACCTCTATCCCAGGTTTCCTGGGCAAGCTGCAACTCAAACATTCCCATTCGCTCTTCCCAGTAACAGATGTGTCCAGAAACATCAGAACCACCCAGCTTGCAAAAGATTTCCTGTCAGACTTTTACATGGAAATATATGTTCATTGTATTCTAAGTCTTGTCTCAACTTCACCTCAAAGAAAAAAAAACACAAAAACAAAAACCCCAGAACACTATTATTTCTCCTGTAAACGGAGTACACAACCTTTCACCCATAATTTGAAAACCGTGCTAAAACCTGAACCAACGCCACACGAGTGGCATGCTTATGAACAAGCTGCATTCTGCAGGGTGCTCGGTCACCATCAGGGGCTTCAGCATTTTTCCACTGAAACTCCAAGCACACAATTGATTTTAGGAATTTGTATCTGCTCTGCAATAACATTGCGTTGGCCAAAAAGTCCATATGGTTTTTTCTGTAAAATAAAAGATCCACTTTTTCATTTTCACCAATGACTTTATTGATTTGGATATTTTGAGTATGTTGGCTCTCTGGCACGTGGTATAATGTTGATTGTTGTCAATTAATGTCTTGATTTGATTGCTATCAACTTCAGTTGGTCTACCTGATCATGGAGCATTGTCAAGCAACACGAAACTTCATAACCATTTTTAAAATGTTTGATCAGTCACAGCACCTTCTCCGTACACTGCACAAATCTTTTTTTTTTGCGTTTCAGTTGCATTTTTACATTTCTTGAAATATTAAAACATAACATGCCGAAACTGTTGCTATTTTCTTCTATCTTCAATATTAAAATAGCTACATAAAAATTCACCAGCATTGTTAAGTTTTCAAAACAAATGCTGATATGGTAGCTGTCACAATACAATTTAACAAAATTGTCTCAGATGAAGTTAAAGACAACTAAGTGGTACTAGAGTCACCTTAGAGAAAAAAGACAAACTTTTTGGCCAACCCCATATATCATCTTTTTACTCTTCAAAGAGTTTTCTCTCTTGTAATTATGTCCTATTAACCAGAAACTTACATTTTGGTTGACGAAGACTTCGGTAATGATGAGGGGTTAGGTCTTCACAACTTCTCACATATGTACAACTGAAATACCTAAGTACTTGCAATCTTTTTGAGGGGAAAAGCAAGACTTTTCCCATCATCACTGGCGATCTCTGTGCGCTTTCCTACAGCAAACCCAGAATCCACCCTTCCTGGGCTTTTCTGCCAGAGGAACCTGTGAGGAGAGGGTGGAAGTGCCACAGGCCCTGGACGCCTTTCAACACATGCATTTGCGAGAACTTTGTTGCCTCCTTAGATTCAGCAAAATCCCATGTTTTACCAGTCATCTTCAGTTACAGCTTCAAACAGCCGTGACTGGAAATATGGCCTTTCTGAAAATCCATCTGAATACTGAGCAACAGCACAACAATGCCTATATCCTTTGATCTGAAAAATGCCTCTTCTAGAAACTTGTTTTATGAAACTTTGGGTCCAATGACTACAGTAGTGACATTAATGAAAATTAAAACAATTTAAGTGTCTAACAGTGAACACTGTAAACTCCATTCCGGTAGATCCAACAGTGTCTTGCAGTTCTGGACCAGGCAGGGTGGGACAAGTTAGGAAAGGGATCTCAACTTCCAGTTGTCCTCTTTTTACACCCAAAGACACTGAGGCCAAGAATGCCGTGACCTGCCCTAGCTCATGCAGTAACCTGTCGGCAAAGTCAGGTAACCCAATCCCAACCTTCCTTATTTTTATCTGAAACCCTGGTTGGCAAGTTTCTAGGAAGAGCAGATGTGACAGGCTGTACTGAGCATCCCCAGACCTCCCTCAGGCTCTATAAATAGCTAGGATGACAACACTCACGGTCAGTTTGGTAGCACGAAAGGACAGAAAGTAAAACCAGCAGAGGGAAAGGCACTGGGACAAGTCTAGGGACACCAACACAGCTTCCAGAGCGCCACATGCAGTCACACAGGACAAGCCTGATCTTCCAGCAACAGGCCGATGACACATGTGAAGTGCTGTCAACCAGAGAAGCTCCCCTGAGCCAGGGAGTCCAGGGTTTCTCTTGGGGGTCAGTTACTGAAGCTCCTGATGCCCAGAGAGAAGACAGGTGCTTGCCATCACCAAACTCCATGTGAACTTTCCAGGTAAACGGGTATAATGCGCTTATGGCCCTCAGTGGGCGAAACACTCTTAACAGTCAGAACGTTCCAGAAGCAGCCCGTCATCCAACAGGCCCTGCCTGCTGAGTCAGCCCTCAGCCTCATGCAGGCAGATGGGGTTGCAGGTGAATCTCACCCCCTCTGCTGTATCTGGGCAACAAGCATCATCACCCACGACACTGGGATGGAGCAGGACAGAGATGCAACTGCAGAGACGGTCTGCTTGGATGGTCTCATTTCTCTCATTCTTTCAAATATGGGATCCCCAAGAAAGCTGGAACTCTATTTTGATATAAATGCCTTAAAAAGAATATACACATTATTACTTTTTAAAGCATAGCTAAAAACGCCTCCTCAAAATACATCAATGTCTTATGTTAAGGCAAACCTCAAAGCACAAAAAAGAGGCCTGAGCAAAATTAACTTCCCTTAATTTCAAAAAATTGTGTGAAAGTAAAAAAAATATATAAGTACCTAAAAGTCAAGGTAGTTTGTGACACGTTATTTTAAAATGAAGGCACAAGAACAGTCCCCTCTCTCTTCAACCCATTGGCCACACCTGTCCTGAAAGCAGTCATTTCTGGAGGCTTTCCTACAAAGGACTCAGTGTGTGGGACCTACAAAAGTCCTTTTCCAAGATGATCTCAGCTCGACTTTAAACAGAGAGCACTCCAAACCACAGGTCTGACTGACGTGAAAGACCATGCTGTTCTGTAACTCCAGGTTTTCACCAGCAGTGAACTAATAATTTCCTGAAATAGCCCAACAGCCTAGTTCTAATATGAAAACAGAAGCCTATTCCTGGGGAGAAAGATCGGAACTGAAAGTAACTCAATCATATCCGCTACAGGGATTTGAGAAGCAAGGAGAACAGACATTTTCTATCGGTTAGCAACTGGGCCCTTGTTGAGGAGAAAACAGCTACAAAAATGGTTACAGAAGATGAAGAGAAAGGAGCACATCAAAGAAAAAGAAATGCTGTTTAAAGGGAGGGGAGCAGCAGCAGCGCAGGAGGAAAGGGGTCTGAAGCATGGGGGTATGGAGTCCACCTTACAGGGAGGAGAGGTGGGCATTCTAGGCAGCAGGAACAGAGATTCAAGGCCGGGGTGGACGCCACAGGGCACCAGAAGCATTTGGCCGCCAACATGAAAAGACAGGTGGGAAAGCACCAGGGTCAGCAAGGGCCTGAGGAGCAAACCCGAGGCAACCGCAGAGGTGCTCCAGCAACACACTTCTGGATTCCAATCCTGACTTTGTAATGTGAGAGCTACAAGGGACAAGCAAAGTGGTGGTAATACTGTTACCTACTCTGTGACGTGTGAAAGGACTAGAAATCTATACTCATTAATTGCCTGCCTTGCTGCAGAAATAACTTAAAGAAGTTTACAAAGCCCTGGCCAGGTAGTTCAGTTGGTCAGTGCTGTCCTGCTATGCCATGGCTGTGGGTCCAACCCCCGGCCAGGGCACAGACAAGCAGCAGCTAATGAGTGCATAAATAAGTGGACCAGCAAAGCAATGCTTCTCTCTCCCTTCCTCCCCACCCCCCGCCGCCATCCCTCTCTTAAAAAAGAAACCAATAAATTAAAAAAAAAAAAAAAGTTTATAGAGACAGTCAGTCATGAGAGTAAATTTGCATTATGTTGGCCAAAAGTAGGAAGAAAGTGAGGAGCCTAAGGCTACTCCATGAGGTTCACCTCCTAAACTCTAAATTCTTGTTACCACTGAATCACAAATTTAAATAAATTTTTAGCAGCTAATTTGAAAAAAGCCTAATTGCTTAAAAGACTGTGCTTGTAAAATACAAACAAGACAGAACAATCAGCACAGCTGCTAAACACACAAGAATTGCCATGTTCCCAGGGAGAAGTGAAACGGCCATTTCTCTGGGGCTGCCCCAGAGGGCACAGTGACAAGGCCACCTCTGTCAGGGGTAAATGACTGCTTCGTGGGGCCAGTTTAATGGCCCCAACAAAAGCTGAGGGAATCCCACAGGGCAGTCAATTCAAGAAAAGTGACTCCAGCTGCGAGATGGGCACCCATACACACTGGGTAAACTAGGTATTGATTTCAAAGTATCTTAGGAAGCTGGGAACGACCATCCTCTCAACAATCCTGTTAAAATTCTCTCTCAGTCAAGCAGGCTCCTGGTTGAGATTGAGTAGCAGCGGAGTTCAAGACTATGTTCTGACAGAGCAAAGAGCCATATGCTCCAATAGCAAGCGTAACCAGGTGGCGGTACTGACACCTGCAGTGAAGAGGCAGGAGCCTAGCCTTTAGGTCTGAACAGAGGGTCCCCCACTCACACCTGCAGGGCTCCAACAGTGCTGGCTGTGGGACAAGGTTTGTTAAGTGCCCAGCACAGTGCCCATGTGCAGTGGACGCTCACTAGGTGGTAACCATCATTATCGCTGTCATGAGGGAAGAAAAGCCATCCAAGACTCGGGGTGGCTCTTTGGCCAGTTAACAGTGGCAGTAACACTACTATCCCTCTTCCTTCACCATTTACTATCCCAGTAACTACGGGACACAAACCCAGAAAGGTCAAGTCCTTGCTCAAGGTCCCATTCCTAGAACTGGTTGAGCCAGGGTGTGAATCCAGGCAGGCTGACCCCCACAACCCCACTGAGCCCACCCAAGGTGGACAGATTTAGAGTATCTGACCCTCAGTCCCAACTGAGCAGGCTTCCCACAAACCCTAAACCTGGGAGGCACTCTCCAAACTTAATAGCAAACGGACAAAAAGGAGATGTCCAAGTGGATCACGAACCAGACCTCCCTCACTGGAAAAGAACTCAAAACAAAAGACTTACCCCACGGGGCACTCTCACTGTCCTGGCCAACATCATTAATATCCGGCCACAACTGACATATGATGTGAAGAAATCATCCATTTTGTCAACATTTACAAAGTTTTAAGCCAGGATTTGCCAGATTGTAGCCTGCTGGATTCCAGGTGCTCTGGACATCTTTCATCTTTCTAGTAACCCTGTCTTCTACTTGCCCTAACGTAACTCAAGCACTGGGGACACAAATTAAAAATAAAAGGGGGTTAATAATAATAATCAGAAAAGAATCAAGAAGGCACAACTGTCAAGGCAGAAGTAATGAAATTCATTACTTTTCTGAAAACTTTATAAATACACGTGAAGTTGTACAGCAACATCTGTGACCCACCCATGTTAAATACTGGAAATAAAGTCAGAGGTATCTACCCTTCTACAAAGTAAATGTACTAATGTAAATACAAATCTTCAGCTCCATGCAAATCATGAAGCAATAAAATACACTGAGTTCCTGTTATGTGCTAAGAGCGAGGGGCACGTGCCTTCTTTAAGCCCATCCCCCATAGGAGGCAGGGTTGGCACTCTCGGTCTTTTCCATTCCCTAGTCCAGTCTTTCTACATCCAACTGCTTGCCACTAATAAAAACGAACCTTTCAACATTTTTATAACATCTTAAAATCAATCCCCTTTCTAATATATTTCTAGTGGGAAGGCAAACTACAAATTTAAGAATCAGAAAAAACAGTGCATCTGAGGGATTAAAAAGGGACAACACAGGACAATTATTAAAGCCTCTAATAGTACTGTCATGGATTAATCATGTTGAAACCAGCAAGAACTCAACTCCATGTGGAGAGCCACAACACACCACGCCCAAGAGCTGTAACCCTTATCCTTGTGTGAATGCCTGTAAGTCTGCCACTGACAAAGCCACCTCCCCACAATCTGGTGGCCTCTGGGACATTCGTGACCCTGTCCAGCAGGGTTGCAAAGGTCAGTTATCTAAGAAATCCAATGATCTTCAAGATACCTGAAGGATATCTGCTGTACGAAGCTAAACTTCTATCCCTCCCTAGAACCTACACCTCCAACCTGCACTTCTCAAACTGCAGCTCTTTATGCGGACCCACCGTTGTTCCACAAGGCACTGGGAGCAGCACTGACAACACAGTGCCGCTTGGCAAAAAAAGTCAGAACCACCTCCAGCACATCCCAATGATAATTGTGTCTACCGGCTTGCAGTTCAGAAGTCTTGATGGCCAAGTCCCACTCACCGTTGGACAGTGCTTGCTGAAGCTCATTGTCGGATATCACACCGCTCCTGTCTTTATCAACCCTACAAAATCAAGACCAGTTCACCTGGTGATTAAAAGGGCACAAAAGTAAACTATACAAGGACAAACATTTAACCCCACTGAGCATCCTACATTAATTCTGGCACGATTCTCCCCATGGAGCTTTCACGTTGTTTTGCTTGGGACTAAGGAAACACTGGAGTTCCTCTCTCATCCTACACTCCACCTGCCAAAGTCCATGTTGGTTCCCAAGACTACTTCTTCGATTCTCCCTTGGACTGAGTTCCACCTGTACCCGTTTCTCTTGTTCACAAACAAGAAAAGATTTTCTCAATCAGGTCATTGCCTAGCCATGCGTCACCCAAGTTTCTGTCATTTATTCACTGGAAGGATGGCCTCGGACAGAAGCAGTTCAGGTAAAGATCACCTGTCCTGGCAGGTACCATGCCCCAGCTTCTTTCCTGGCTGCTGGCATTTTAATAGCGCTGGAGAAGAGTCTTGTTTCTGTTTATCTAAAACTAGCATCGCCAGGAGAATCTGCCGAAGCAGCAAGAGCCCACCCCTCAACTGAGGGATTTGGGGTGTTAGGGGGAGGAGTGAAGGCAGGGCGTCTTCTTCAGCAGGTTCCACAGCTCGGGAGAAGTTCGGCTCCAAGGAGGATCCAGAGACAGAAGGGGGCAGGGCAAGGGACAGGAGGGGAGGAAGGAGAGTGAGCAGAGCGGTGGTCTCGGGAGAGGGCTGGGTTGGAGGGGAGGATGGGACAGGAGGGGAGGATGGGGCAGCAGGCCAGAAGGGCCTGGAGAGACAGGCGGAGGGGAGAGACCAGGGAGAGACTGGGGGCAGGCCAGAGTGAAGGCTGGAGAAAGGCCGGGGTGGGGGTGTGGGGGGAGCGATCGAGGCCGGGGAGAAGCGAAGGGAGAAAACTGAGCAGGAGGCTGTGAACAAGCTGGGGCGAAGCCGGAGTGCAGGCTGGGGAGAGGCCGGGGATTGGTGGGTGGAGAAGAGAAGGCCGGCGGGCTCCCGTAAGCGCCCGCACGCCGCACCTCACCTCTGGAAGACGTTCCACAGGAAGCTCTGGTCCGGCAGCGCCGCGCCCATGGCTGGGCCGGGGCTGGGGCCGGCCCCAGGGCCCGGGCGGTAGGGGTAGGCGGCCATGGGCCCAGGGGTGAGGCTAGGCTGGGGAGTCGGAGGCGACAAGAAACGCCTCAGGGTAGCTGCACTTCCGTCTCTGCCGGGGGTGTGGCCTGGAGCTTACGCCACTTCCGGAAGAAACCGGAAGTTCGTGTCTCCGAGACGGTCTCGGGGCCTGACACTGCCAATCCCTTTGAGGCCCCGCTTCCTTGTTCTCGGCCTCTTCCGGGTTCGCGGTACCGCCCACGTCAGCTCCGCAGAGGGCACGTGGAGAGTGGAACGGGTTCCACTCTGGTTCGTTCAATTCCTGCACCAAAAGGAAGTCATGAAAGCGAATGTGACCGAGTGGGGAACGCGTTCGGCACACTGTTGCGCTTCTGTGGGTTTTCCAGTCCCTGTCCCAGCTCGCTTCCTCACGGCCTGTCACCAGGGCCCCTTTCCCGAGCTTCACCAGCGACTCAGTGCTTGCGGACCCGGGACTCCTCACGCTCCTCGCCAGGCTGTCCCCTTCTCCCAGTGGCAGGCACTGCCATCATTGGACGGTCGTGCGGCTCTGAGCGTTTTTAGCGAGGTCCCCGCTTAAGGGCACTCACTTCCCCGTCCTGTCCGCCAGCCTCGCCCTCCCTGCCCACGTCCGGACGCAGAATTTTCTGGGTGTTCGTAGACTTCCGGCTTCGCAGGTTTTTAGATTCCTGATTCAATGATCGCTGACTAGTTGGGAAACATACCAGAACGTGGAAGGGACGGGAGCCAAGAACATGGCCTTTTATTGGAGGCACCTGAGACTTTGCTCCTTGTGGACACGAATCTATTATTCAGCACTCTGGGCACAGCTGCAGATCTGACCAGCGATCATTCTCCCAACTCTTACCTTCTGCCCCACTTAACACGGGCATACATGCTGGAGAGTTCGCTCAAATTCTACAAAGAAATTAAGATACCCTGTGACTTTGGCATTCCCCCGCGGTATTAATCCTTAAACTTTTTCAACAATGTGGGTTTTTTTCCTCATGCCTCAATGAATTAAGTAATTTCTAGTTTTTCCACATAAGTATTCACATCACTTGCTGTACAGTCCTTTCTAGATTTTCCATAGCTCTTTGATCTGTAGTTTTTGAAGTCCATTTTTATATCCCATCTCTGGCTCCTTTCTTGTCCTCTAGATCTCTACAAATTAATAACCACGATTTTCCAACCCAATGTGTAAGTTTGTTTCCTAGTACAATGTGCAGAGGGAAACTTAAAGAGACAACTCGGTGGCTGCAGGGGGCCCTTGCATCCCTCTCTCCACAGTGACACTGGCCCCAAGTCTCCAGCCTTGACTGGCACAGCCAACACCATCTGTGGGACTCAAAAGGACGGCAAACTACTTTAGTTCCTGGGGCACGGGGCGGGGGGGGGGGGGGGGGCGGGCGGGGTGGTGATTCATTCAAGGTAAGAATCACTTACTGGATACTTACAATAAACTAGAATTTACCCTAGTGTTTAAGTGTTAGTTTATGTAATCCTCATGTCAGCACCTGGTTGCAAGGTATTGCACCAAGGTCCACATTTTACTGATGAGAAAACCATGGCTGGCCTAAGGTCAAATGGGCAATTTACTCTGCTTTTTTGGCATTACCTCAGTGGTGGCAAGGCTGACTCTTAAAAGGGAGATTAATTACAGGAAATGAAGGTTTGTAGAAATATCATCCCTGCCCCATGTATACCCATATAAATGTACAAATGCACCTTGAAAGGATTCAGCGACTGGCCTGGTGCACTCACAAATCATGCAGCCTCAGTCCCTGCCTTCACGGCACCCCTCATCTCTAAGGAACCGCTGACTCCGTGAGGCTGAGCAAAGCACGTAGGTTGCACACCTGTGCTGCACTGTTAGGGCACAACCAAGCCTTCACATCATTGCCATTGATGAGGGGTGTTGCCTGGGGTCCTGTGACCACATTACAAAGAAGTACAGCAACAATGGAGACCACCTTCTGCCAACAGAAAGAGGCAAATCATCTCCTGCCCCGGGTCCTGCTGACTCAGTCATTTAAAGTATTGATGTGCTTGCCACTATCTCCTCGCCAATCTCGGGATTCAGTTCCCTCCTAACCAGGTCTGTTCTAAACTTTCCATTTAGATGGTGCTCCTGGATGGAGGAGGAAAGGAACTGAAAGACAACACTGCTTTCTTCTGTACATGAGGGAGTTACCCACAATGTATCAAATCTCAGACCCATCTTTCCTTTTAGTCTAATTTCTCTGCGCTAATTGGGAAATACCTCTTTTATTATCCTTAGAATTTTTCTAAACATTGGTTCTGTCTGGATGCTGGAATTCCTAACACTTTCCAGGGTCCACCCTCTTGTTCATTCTGCCTTTGGCATGCAATTAGTCCTCTACAGATATGTTAAACAAATGGAAGACTGAATTTTGTATGTATGTTACCTTAATAGATTACCTATGTCTTTTCTCATCAGCTGCACTGTGACATTTGCAAAATGTATTACTTTCCTTTTTCAGTCACTTTCCCTTTTATAGACTCTAGTGCAGAATTTTAGGGGACAGAGCCCACCACACCTAGCCTTCCCCCTCCTTCCCAACCAATCTTCTTGTCAGAATTCAGTATGAAAGCGTATGCCCTACCACTTTTTGTCAGGCTTTTTACTGAGTAGTGGTCAGTTTATCAAATATATGCTGTTTTCTTAGATACTAGCAAATGCCTACATTAGCACTGGCCAGTAGAACTTTCTGCAAAGATAATTGTTTTATATACAATGTCCAATGTGGTAGTTACTTGCCACGTGTGGCTACTAAGCACTTAAAAATGGATCAAGGTGGCTTAAAATGGAATTTTAAATTTTATTTAGTTTTAATGAACTTAAATGTAAATAGCCATGTGGTTATAGATATTGCTATGGCAGTGCAAGTCTGGATATTTTACTGTGTCTTACCTTTTGGTTCTTTTTAATCCATATTAGAAATTATCCTCATCATCTCTTGGGCATTATTCTATTTTCTTTATATTTTGGCTCATACTTTTTTACTTATCTGGTTCATCAATTCACCTAACACAGATGGGTTCATTTAGAAACTGTGAACACATTTTATAAACCTTTCCAGTGTGAAATATTCTGTCCAATGGCTCCTTAACTAGAGGAGTTCCATGGAAACTTACATTTCCAGACTATCCACTCACTGGTGGTTTTCTTGGTCTCAGAGTACTCATGAAAATAGTTCGGAGGTTTCTGGTTCAGAAGGAGCAGACAGAAATAAGGAAACCATGGCATTTATTTCTTTGAATCCTAATTGGCCCTTTTATTGTTACCCTATTGTACTTCACGGGTACCTGTGCTAGCTTTTAATTCACTGTCCTAATACTTAAATGTTGCTCAAAAGCCTATATTAACACTTCCACTTAGTTTACAAAATTCTCTGGCATATACTTTCTCATTAAATCTACTGGTTGGGATGAAGCTGTCTGCAGTAGTCAGTTGTTTTTCTACCTGTTTTCTCCTGTAAATTACCTCCTCCATGTTTGTTGGATCACATCATTCCATGCAGGTAGGTGGTTTTCAGAGTTGTGGTCCTTGGACATGAATTCCTTAACAACCCCTCAATGTGATTACCGTGCACACTCAAGTTCCAGAACCACTGTATTAGGGATTGCCAAATGGTGATCTTCAAATCCTATTATTCCTTATTTATTTATAGGAATTCCTCTGTAAAGAATTTTCCCTAGCTCTGGCTGGTATGGCTCAGTGGATTGAATGCCAGCCTGAGAACCAAAGTGTCGCTGGTTCAATTCCCAGTTAGGGCACATGCCTGGGTTTCCCCAGCAGGGGATGCTTGAGAGGCAACCACACATTGATGTTTCTCTCCCTCTTTCTCCCTACCTTCCTCTCTAAAAATAAATGCACAAAATCTTACACACACACACACACACACAAATTTTCCCTAATTAACTGGGTTATCCTGAATTGCAATTTGTAGAGAAAAGGCAGGATAATTGTTAATTTTCCTTTAATTGTCTATTTTCAGTGTTAGGAATTTTTTAATTGATTGATTTTAGGGAGAGAGAGAAATGTTGATTTGTTGTTCCACTTATTTATGCATTCATTGGTTATGCTTCTCATATGTGCTGTGTGACCAGAGAGCAAAACACCTGCAGTCTTGGTGTGTAGGGACAACACTCTTCACCAAACTGTGCTACGTGGCCAGGGCTAGGCATTGTTTTTAATACATTCAATGTTTCCATTGGATGCTATCATTATTGCTTGCTGGCTCCTGTGCACCCTCTGACATGGTCCTAGTGGTCTTTGATGGTTTCCTGGCTCTCTGAATCAGAAAACAATTTGGGTTCATCTTACACGTTTCCTCCCTCAGCCCAGGAATCAGCAATTCAAGGAGCCCTCGTGTCTTTCTGTGGGACATGGTACGCAGGCCATGGTCCCGGGGCTTGGGGTATCCACTGCTCCTAGGGCAGAGCTAGGAAATATGTGTATTTTAGAAGAACAAAGAATGAGTTTACACTTACATTTCTGTACCAAATTTAATAATAGGGCTTTCACCTGATTTTGAGTTTCCTTTCTTAAAAAATCTTAGTGTTAACATTAACATAATTACTTATTAGCTTTAACTTACACAATTTCAAAAGATAAATACCAACATTACTACAATAATGATGCTACTGAATGAAATGTAGGACTTCTTAGTGGCTCTATTTGTTGTTAAGATTCCAGTTTACTAAAGTTGTAGACTCAGTGCCACTTGAAATAACATTTTCATTTGTGTGACTGTCACAGCTAGATTTGCAGTTGGGTTGCAGACACTTCATGCTGTTCCTCAGCACTCACCAGATCTGTGCAGCCCCTTGCTTCTTGCCCCAAGAGCCTGCAACTCTGCCTGAGGGCTTTCTCTTGTGGCAGAAGTACGGCATGGGGCAGGGCCAGTTTTAACACCCTGGAGGCAGGCCTCAACCATGAAACACACCAATCCCCTTGCTCATGAACTACTGGTTCAGCAATATGGATGAATCAATTACCATGCTGAGTAAGAGAAGGCAAATAAAATAGCACATGGTATATGTTTCCATTTATATAAAATGTAGAGAATGCCTAGCCCTGGCTGGGTAGCTCAGTTGGTTAGAGCGTCATCCCAATATGCCAAGGGTGAGGGTTTGATCTCCAGTCAGGGCACATACAAGCAGCAACCAATGAACGCATTAAATAAATGGACAACAAACCCATGTTTCCCTCTCTCCTTAAAATCAATAAATAAAAAATTTGAAAATGAGAAGGGAGAACCTTGAGAAAAAAAATGTAGAGAATGTAAACTAGCCTGTAAGAATGGAAAGCAGATCAGTGGTTCCCTGTGGACTGAGGGGGAGAGAAAGGGAAAGGTAGGTATCTGGGGTTGGTGAATATGCTTATTATCTTCTGCCAATTATACCTCAAAAAATGTTAACAATGCTAACAAAACAAAAAAAACAGAAGAAAAGCTATGCTAAGATAAAATTTCTCATAATGTGAGTGGTAAACACCTCGAAGTGTAACATCGCACTTTCTTTTTTCTTTGCAAAGCAGGACTCTCATCATTGCTGGT